GGTACCTCTCACTGTTGTGGCCTCTCCCGTTGCGGAGCACAGGCTCCGGACGCGCAGGCTCAGCAGCCATGGCTCACGGGCTCAGCCGCTCCGCGGCATGTGGAATCTTCCCAGACCGGGGCACGAACCCGTGTCCCCTGCATCGGAAGGCGGACTCTCAACCACTGTGCCACCAGGGAAGCCCTAAGAGCACTATTTTATCATTTTTATTGAATAATATACTTTTCAAATTACTTCCCTATACATTGTATTATTTGATCCTTATTTAATTAAGATAGGCAAAGCAGGTTATTTGATTTCTATTCTAGATAAAGGACTTTTTCTAAGATCACAATGCTATTTTTTTTTTTTTTTTTTTTTTTGCTGCACCACGCAGCTTGCAGGATCTTAGTTCCCCTACCAGGGATAGAGCCCAAGCCCACGGCAGTGAAAGCACCCAGTCCTAACCACTGGACCACCAAGGAATTCCCAACAACGTTATTAAATAGTAGACCTATGTCTAAATTTCAGGGTTTTAAAAAAATATTTATTATGAAAACTTTCAAACATAAAAAAGTTGAAAGAATATTATAGTAAATACCCATATATCTACTACCCAGCTCCTACCATTAACATTTTGCTATCCTTTTCCTGTCACATATCTGGTCCATCTATGCATCAATTCACCTTATTTTTTCTGATGTATAAAACTCAACTTAAAACCCATAGTCTTTTCATTATACTATAATGATTATGTCATACTGACTCTTAAATGCTAGATACAATCAATAGTGGCACAAAAACTTTTCCTTCTTTCATATACAAAAGACAAAATGTAGTGATTATTTGTTCCTTAAAAAACAAAAAAATGATTAGGCAGAATCAATTCAATGTTCAATCCCCTCTTAACCCAAAAGGATTTACCTATATCCACATGGTAATGCTAGAATGTAGGACCCAGGTCTATGTCCTGGTAACTGTCCCTTTAAAGACTATAAAGAGAATAAATGTACTCTGGATAAAGATCATTAATGCATTTTCCATACAGATGGAACCAAGGGGAAAAGCTGAGAATGGAGTGGTCTGAGTTAGTTCTGTGTGTCATCCCAAGGCCCACAATTCATCTTAGTTTCAACTTTCCAAGTAGGAGAAACAACAATTTCGAAGTAAAAAGAAACTTAAATCAGTCCATCCTGGCACTGAAAGTGTGAGGCAGCAGAAAAAATAGTGACTAAATAATACTAATTAGAAAGTTTAGGCTCAATTCTGGGTTCTGCCACTTACTTAGTGTCGTTTTACATGTGCAGATGAGGAATCCTGGTCAGTTTTCACATAGCCAATTTGATCAATTCTCCAAATAGCCAATTTGCTGAATTTACTCTTTTACTGATATAGTGAAAAATTGGTTAACTACTTACAAACTATAGCAATTTGTTTTAGATAGGATAGGATAGAAATTACTTCAGACAGGATAACTTCTGAGGATGTCTGTTGTGCTTTGTTCATTCCTTACAAGCATTAATTGAGTTTGTTTAGTTTTCAGCCAACTGGATGCAGCTGTTCTGCCATGACCAAATTTCTGTGCATTTGGGGACTTTACTTGGGAATATAAATTCTCATTGCAGGATGAGAATTTCTTATGTATATTGACTAACAAATGTATAGATTTTGGGTGTCCAGGGCATAGTTTTGTCTTTCAGTACATTTTCAATCTATTCCTACTTCCCTAAATATAACAATTCACTAACCAACTCAATTAGATTACTATTTTTATGTGTTTTAATCATTTGAGAAGTGATTAGTGTCTAAAATATGAAACTGACATTCTACAAAGATGGACTGACAAATCTAACAGCTGGGATAAAACAGCTGCACTACAATTAATACTAAATAAAATCTTAAAGAAAATTTAAAAGGTGTTGAAACCATTCCAAGCAACACAATTTTCTATATATTTGTAAGTAGGTAATAAAGACAAAATTTTGGTGAAGCAATCTGGTGAATGTTAATCAATAAAAACTGGCTAAGTCTGTGTGACTCAATTCAGTGAAATCTGTCATTCAATAAACTAGCCCTTTGGAGAACTGTACATTGAATGAACAGGCATTTAGCAAACTGGTCTGCTTCTGCATGTGAATAAATCACTTCTCTTCTTAGTTTCTAACTCTGTAAAATAAGGAGGCTGGCACAATGAGCTAGCACCTCATACCTATTAGGATGACTACTGTCAAACAAATAGAAAATAACAAGTATTGGCAAGGATATGGAGAAACTGGAACCCTTGTGCACTATTGGTGTGAATGTAGAATGGTGTAGATGCTATGGAAAACATTTTGGCAGTTCATCCAAAAATTAAAAACATATGAACCAGCAATCCCACTACTGGGCATATACCCAAAATAATTGAAAGTAGGGTTTCAAAAAGATATTTGGATACCCATGTTCATAGCAGCATAATTTACAAACAGCCAAAAGGAAGAAACAACCCGTGTTTGTTGATGGATGAATGGATAAACAAAATATGGTCTATTCATACAACAGAATATTATTCATCCTTAAAAAGGAAAGAAATTCTGATATATGCTACAACATGGATGAACCTTGAGGACATTATGCTAAGTGAACTAAGCCAGTCACAAAAAGACGAATACTGTATGATTCTACTTATATGAGATATCTAGAGTAGTCGAATTCATAGAGACAGAAAGTAGAATGGTGGTTGCCAGAGCTGGTGGGAGGAGACAATGGGAAGTTACTGTTTAATAGGTATAGAGGTTCGGTTTTCTAAAATGAAAAGAAATCAATTCTCTCCACGTCAATCTATAGATTCAATGCAACTCTACTAAGACTTCCAATGAGATTTTATTTTTTATGAACTTGATAGACTGATTTTCAAGGTTCTCTTGAAGAATAAATGTCCAAGAAAAGCCACAAATATTTTGAACAAAGAGAGAGGACCTGTCTCAATAGATATCAAAACATATTATAAAATGAAAGAAAAGTAAAGCAACATGATATTGGAACTGAAATATATAGGTAAAACAACAAACAGAAAGAAACTTGAGGGACTTCCCTGGTGGTCCAGTGGGTAAGACTCCACGCTCCCAATGCAGGGGGCCCAGGTTTGATCCCTGGTCAGGGAACTAGATCCCACACGCCGCAACTAAGATCCGCATGCTGCAACTAAGAAGTCTTCATGTCACAACTAAAGATCCTGCACAGCCTAAATAAATAAATAAATATTTTAAATAAATAAATAAAAAGCACTTGCCAAAAGGATTAGCCTTAAAAAAAAAAAAAAAAGAGGGCTTCCCTGGTGGCACAGTGGTTGAAGGTCCACCTGCTGATGCAGGGGACACGGGTTCGTGCCCTGGTCCGGGAGGATCCCTCATGCCGCGGAGCGGCTGGGCCCGTGAGCCATGGCCGCTGAGCCTGCGCGTCCGGAGCCTGTGCTCCGCAACAGGAGAGGCCACAACAGTGAGAGGCCCGCGTACCGCCAAAAAAAAAAAGAAAGAAAGAAACTTGACCATCCAGGAACCTACCCATGCATATACAAGAGTTTATTTAGTATGTGGCATTTCCAAACAGTAGGAAAAGGAGACTTTTCAATATATGGCTAACCATTTGGAGGAAAAAAAATAAGGTCTGATATCTGTCACATGCAATTTGCAAAAATAAAATCCAGATAGATTAAAGGTATAAACTTTTTAAATTTATACTTAAAAAACAATAGAAGTACTAAAAGAAAATATAAGATGATTTTTTCATAATCTAGAAGTGAAGACCTTCTATATAAGATACAAAACACAGATGTTATAAAGATTTGACAAATAAAAATTTTAAAACTCCATACAGCAACTATGAATAAAGTAAAAAGACAAGTGACAAACTAAGAGAAAATATATTAAATAATTCTGAAAACTTTGCATTAAATTGCAGTGTGGAATTTATAATCAGATTACCTAGATTTGACTAAGTCCTCCACCTTTTCCTCTTCCCTCCTGCCCTTTTTCTCTCATCATCTTTTCTTTTGTCTGTTTAGCTATTCATTTGTAGATGGACACTTGGGTTGCTTCCATCTTTTCACTGCAGTGCATAATGCTGCTATGAATATAAGTGCACAAATATTTTGTTTGTATTTTGAGGGGGGATCATTAGTTGTGTTTTTTTTAATTTAAAGAGTAACATACATAATCATCACCTAAATAAAAACATTAAATATTTTTTAAAAAAGAGTAACACACAAGATAACAACATAACAAAAATCAAATAGTGCAAACAAGTATAATGAAAAGTCTCTTTCTCACCCACGCCCGTTCCCTTCCCCAGAGGTAACAGCTATCATCAGAAATATTTTATGCATATATGTACATAGAAATATCCACTTTGCTTCTTTTCATTTAATAATATACTTTGCAAATTATTCTATTTCAGCACATATAGGTAAGTCCTACCTCACTTTCCCCCTTGATATATTTTGTTTAGCTACTACTGATAGGCACTTAGATTGTTGCAGTCTTTTATACAAGCTATATTTCAATGAATGTACTTGGTCCACCATCTTTGTTCATGTATGTGAGTATGAAAAACTCCTTGATATAGAATAGTTGGGACAAAGTAAATACACATTGAAGACACTGATAGCTATTGACAGACTGCTCATCTCAGCAATAGGGTTTAACAGCGCCTGTTCACTATACCTGGGCATTTTACATAACTATCTGAGCCTCAGTTTCTTTATCTTA